GTGTTGCCCAGCAGCTGCTCCCGCAGGTCGTGGATCTTGGCCTCGAAGCGGCTGTACTCTGCGGGGGCGGGGGGTCAGGGGCCTCGGGGACGGCCGGGGACCCGCGGGGACACCCAGGGACCCCTGGGGACCCCTCCCTACTCACCCTCAGGCTTGTACTGGGCGATGATGGTGACGGTCTGGCCGGCATTCTTCAGTGCCACCGCCGCCTGCTCGTGCGTGGCGCTGCGCAGGTCCACCCCGTTCACCTGCGGGACGGGGACGCGTCACCGCGGGGAGGGGGACGGCGAGGGGCACAGGTCACTGCCGGGATGATGATGGGGACGGGGATGGGGACACATCACCTTAAGGAGGAGGATGATGATGGGGACGAGGACATGTCACCGTGGTTAGAGGGATGGGGACAGCATTGGGGACGGCAGCGGGGACATGTCCCTGTGGGGGGCGGCGATGGGGACAGCGATGGGGACGCTTCGCCACGGGGATGACGATGGGGATGGGGACAGAGACACGTCACTGTGGGGAGGAAGATGGGGACAGCCGTGGGGACGTGCCGCCGCGGGGCCGGGGACAGCCGCGTCCCCGCCTCACTCACAGAGAGGATCTGGTCGCCCTTGCGCAGCTCCCCGCTGAGGTCGGCCGGGCCCCCGGCGAGGATGAAGGAGATGAAGATGCCCTCGCCGTCCTCCCCGCCCACGATGTTGAAGCCCAGCCCCGTCGAGCCCCGGTGGATCACGATGCGCCGCGGCTCCCTGGGGACGGGGACGCCGAGGTGGGGACAGCCCCGGGGCGAGGAGACACCCCGGGGACACCCGGGACACGGGGACAGCCCCGGGACACGGGGATAGCCCAGGGACGTGCCCTTGGGGACTTTGAGGACAGCCCAGGGACATGGGGACAGCCTGAGGACACCGGGACACCCCAGGGACGTGTTCTTGGGGACAGCCCATGAACACGGGGACACCCCAGGGATGCTGAGATACCCCAGGGACATGGGGACGGCTGCAGGACGTGCCCTTGGGGACAGCCCAGGGGACATGAGGACACCCCCAGGGATGCTGGGACCGCTCTGGGAGGTGGCCTTGGGGACAGCCCAGTGACATGGGGACAGCCTGAGGACACTGGGACATCCCCGGGACGTGGGGACAGAGACATGGGGACACCGCGGGGACATGCCCTCGGGGACCGTGGGGACACCCCAAGGACATGGGGACACCCCCGGGATGCTGGGACGCCCCTGGGACATGCCCTTGGGGACCCTGAGGGGCATCAGGGACGGTACCTGGGGACGTCGTCCTCGGCCAGCAGGTCCTTGGGGCCAGGGGAGTAGCGCCGGGGGGACGTGGGGGTCATGGCCGGGGGGAACTCGGGGCCCAGGTAGCTCTGGGGACCCAGATCCGCGTCCAGGTGCGCCGAGTAGGCTGGGGACAGCAGGGACAGCGGGGTCAGGGGACGGCGGGGACAGCGGGGGACGGGACAGCAGGGGAACGGGGAGGACGGGGATGGGGAGAGCAAGGGGGGAGGGATGGGGACAGCGGGGAGGGGGACGGGGGGCTCCCACCGCCCTGGGGAGAGGGGACAGCGCATTCGGGGTCCCCCCGTGTCCCCCCGCTCACAGCTGGTGACGTCGGGGGGGGCGAAGGCGTCCCCAAGGAAGGTGGCGGCCGGCTTGGCCACCCGCAAGTAGACAACGTCGTAGGTGTTCTTCAGCGCCGCCACCGCGTCCTCGTGCATCACGTCCTCCAGGCTGACGTTGTTCACCTGCAGGGACGCGGGGACGTCGGGGGGGGGGACATGGCCACCCCACGAGAGCTGCGTCCCGTCCCCATCCCCATCGTGTCCCCGTCCCCATCCCTGCCGCCTGCTCGCGGCCAGCATCTTGTCCCTGAGCTGCAGCTGCCTGTCCCCATCGCAGCCTCGTCCCTGGCCCCATCCCTGTCCCCATCGCAGCCTCGTCCCTGTCCCCAGCGTGCCCCGTCCCTGTCCCAAACGCGTCCCCATCATGGCCCCATCCCTGGCCCCATCCTGGTCCCCATCGTGCCCCGTCCCTGTCCCAAACACGTCCCCATCCTCACGCTGTCTCCGTCTCCATGGTGTCCTCATCCCCATGGTGTCCCTGTCCCCATCCCTGCTCACGGCCAGAATCTTGTCCCTGATCTGCAGCCGCCTGTCCCCATTATGTCCCCGTCCCCACGCCGTCCCTATGCCATCCCTGTCCCCATGGGGATGGGGGATGTCCCCATGCTGTCCCCATCCCCAGGGTGTCCCCACGCTGTCCCCGTCCCCGCTCACGGCCAGGATCTTGTCCCCGATCTGCAGCCGCCCGTCCTTGTGCGCGGCGCCGCCCTCGATGACTTTGGTGACGTAGATGCTGTTGTCCCCTGGGATGTGCTGGTTCCCCACGCCCCCCGCGATGCTGAACCCCAGCCCTGGGGGGACGGGGGCGTCAGGGCGGGGACCCCCACACCGTGTCACCCCCCGCCAGCGGGGCAGGCCCTGAGGGTCCCCAGCTGTGGGGTCCCCAAGGTTGGGGGGAGGCCACACAGGTCAAGGGTGGGGGTCCCCGAGGGTGGGTGGTCCCCACAGGCGCCCTGGGGGTCCCGGTCTGGGGCTGAGGGTCCTGGGGTGCCCTAGGGGGGTCCCCAGTCCATGGGGCTCCCCACAGGGGTCCTGGCCCATGGGATTCCCAGGGTTTGGGGGGTCCCAGGGCCAGTCCATGGGGGTACCAGGGGGTCCTCAGGTTTTGGGGTCCCTAGGGGGGATCCAATGGGACTCTCCCCGTTTGGGGGTCCCAGGGCTGGCCCATGGGGGTCCCTGGGGTCCCCAAGTTTGGGGGTCCTGGCACTGGTCCCTGGGAGCTGCAGGTGTGGGGGTCCTTGGGGAGATCCCATGGGGCTCCCCAGCTTCGGGGGTCCCAGTGCTGGTCTCGGGGGGTCCCGGGGGGTGCCCCATACCTTTGGGCCCCTTGATGAGCTTGACCTCCACCACCTTCTCGGCCAGGGCCTTGCGGCGCATGACGTAGAGGCGGACGACGGCGCCGGCCTCCTTTAGCGCCTCCACGGCCGCGCTGTGCGTCACCTCCCGCACGTCCGCCTCGTTGACGAACAGGATGCTGTCGTTCACCCTGCGCAGGCACCCGCTCAGACCAGGGAGGTCCTGGGGGGCTCCAGAAGGGTCTGGGGGGTCCCGGGGGGGACAAGGGACCCTGCCCTGCACTGCCACGTGCCTTCTCGGCACCTGTACAGGGGCTAGGGGGGGTTCAG